TTATACCTCTTAAACATATTTTAAGGCAGCAGCTTGGTGAGTATAGTTTCAACTTCTGGCCTCAATTTCATTCAATTTAAAGATTGAGTTCTTTCACGTTTGCAGCAGTTTTGAAATGCAGTTTCTGCTGTGTCAACAACTTCTATTGGTTATTGTGAGATGCTTTTGAATTCCCTTGCATTGAAGCATGCACCAGTTATGCTGGTTTTGAATTCTTGTAGTCAGATTATAACTGAAGGGTTTTCTTTAAAGGAGTGTGGTTACTGATGTATCCAGTGGAAAACAGATTTGTGATTAGGTCATGAAGGTCTGTCATTCATATGGTCACCATAAGTCAAGTTGCAACAACTGCAGTAACTTCTAGCCTGGAGGAGGAGCATATATATCTTCAAATCATTTCCAGCTTAATAGGTTTTTGTCTTCATTTCACCTTAAGGTTTTGGTTTTTGACAAGATTTGTTCATAGAAGGGTTGCCTTTGCCTTCCTTTGAGGCTCAGAATGTGACTTGCTCATGATCACCCAATGAGTTTCCAGAATGAAGCAGAGATTCAAGCTTGGTCTTCAGAGATATAGTCCAACACCAAAAAACAAACAAACAAATCTGTGTGTACCCATATAATTTGTGGTACATAAATTTGAAGCAATAAAAATACATTCACCGTGGTTCTCAACCTGTGGGTCTCCAGATGTTTTGGCCTTCAACTCCCAGAAATCCTAACGGTAAACTGGTGGGGATTTCTGGGAGTTGTAGGTCAAAACACCTGGGGACCAACAAGTTGAGAACCACTGCACTAAGGCATCTTTGGCTGTGAACAAACAAATAGCACTTGCCATGGGGTGAGTAGCCATTTTGAAGTCTTATATAAAATTGGAAAATAGGGTGCTGCTGCTGTTCTGATAGTTTTTTTTCATACATTTGCTTTCACTGCTTTAACAGTTTTTTTCACTGTCAAGTGATCCCCAGGCTTATTCTGTATATGTTCATGTATATGTTGGGAGTTGTAATAGATCCATTTGGAAACTTGGATAAGATAATGATGCTGGGGAAAATGAAAGGAACACGGCAGGCTGGCAGTGAGCTCTGAACAAATAAACAACACATTGAGGGAGGTTTCAGGGGCAAAATTACAGACTTTAAGGTGACCCATGCATAAGTCGAGTGTCATTCCACGGTGAGGGAAAAGCACCAATGCTGCATCAAGAGGCCAACTGCCCCTGTCCAATTTCACCATTCCCCCGCCCAGGCATTCAGAAAGGCATCACAACTGAGAAACTAGAAGTGCATCTTTCAGGTTCTCCTGGGGCAGACTAAGCTTTTGCCTTTGTTTACTCTGCTCAGAGAGGAGGGTGGTTTATTTTATTTTTTTTAAAAAATAGAGTTAGGGTACAGTACTCACATTGACCATGGATAAGTTGACTCAGTCTTTGAGGGTAACTTTCTGTCAGTGCATTGATCTGCTATGTGAACATTTTTTAAATCCTCATAAAATCATTTTAACTTCTTGCTTTCCAACCAGGTAAGGAAGCTCTTGCTTGATTGAAGTTTCTTTGTAAATTAAAATATGGTCTATTTTAGTAAGATTTTTCAAAGATCTCAGTCATGCTGTAAATGTTATCTGAAATGTTTGGCAAATATCTAGATCAGTGGTTCTCAAAGTGTGCTCCGTGGAACACTCCTCCAGCTCTGCCCTCCTCCCCTTTCAAGCTTTCCCTCCTCTTTCCTGCTCCCCCCCCCCCCCCCCCCCCCCCCCCGCCTCCCTCCCTCCAAAAGCCCCTTTCCCTCGCCAAAAGATGGTTGCCTGACGTTGCTCTGATGATGATGATGGTGGTGATGATGGTGGTGATGAGGTTTATTATTATTATTATTATTATTATTATTATTATTATAAAGTCTGCGTGGCCATCTGTTGGTACTTTGATTTTCTTTTCCTGCATGGCAGAAGAGGGTTGGATTGGATGACCCCTGGGGTCTTCCACTGAAATACTATTAACTTTATGTTGCTTAAAATTGTTCTTCATTTTAAATATTGTATTGTTCTTTCTTTTTGGCATTACAAACAAGATGTGTGCAGTGTGCATATGAATTTGTTCATGTTTTTTTTTCCAAATAGTTCATACAAACACTCTCCATCCATCTGCCACTGGCCCCGCCCATCTGTCAAATTTTAAAACACAGAGTGTCAAAAAGTTTACTCATGCCTCATATATATAATATAATATAAAAATATTTATTGGGGCTTCAGGAGAAACTTTTGCTTCAAAAAGGGCTCCATGGCTAAAAAAGTTTGAGAACCTCTGATCTAGATCATAGATAGGGACAATATGACCCAAGACTATTTTTCCATACAAATGTTTTACAGTCCTGCAAATGTCCTCACAAACCTGTTTCCTTGCAGTTTGGGACATGGGATTCATCCTCTTTTTAAAATGTGCACAGGCCTAAAACAGGTGAGCAGGTGCAAAATACTCAAAAAGGTTGACTACAATACATAGATATGTGTGTAGAGATGCCCATCAAGGAGCCTGTATATAGCCCATTCCTGCCATATAGTGCATCTGGTATGTTAAATGTGCAGTTTTTTGCTTAGTGAAAATATTCGACAGCCAAGGGGACTGTTAATGATCAAACTAAGAAATCACAGCATTCCTGTATAATTCTAATTTATCCTTGTAGTAATATGTTACTGAGGGGGGACATTAAACATAATTGCTGCTTTGAGTCCCACCCATGGGGGGAAAGTGGGATAAAAATAAATAAATAATATCCAGAACCTTTGTTTTTCTATTACTGTTTTTTGTCCTCAGTATCAGAAAAGGGATACAGTTTTGTTCTACTTGTTCATATGAAACCAAATAATTGCTGTTCTATTGTGTAATTATTAGAGTAGTTTGTTGATATAACATTTTCAATTCAGAGTGTTGTCCCCCCTACCCATACACACACATGCATATCTTAATGACTTAACAAGGCTTCCTACCTGTGACAGGACTGCTTACAGAGCGGTTCAGAACAATCTCACTGGGTAGGCCTGGTGAGAAAAGGATGTTCTAATTCACAGGTTTACTGTATTCCCTTCCATCCTATACAGATGAAAACAAATTAAAAACAGTTGCAAACTTATTTTTACAATATGCTCACTTCCTCCAGCAAATAAAGTATGGATTTGGAAATGTCTCTGGAAAGCAATAACCCATCCCAGGAAGGAAACCAATTTGCTCTCTCCAGAAATCACCATTTGGAGCAGATCTTTGATTCTGCAGCATTGTAGAGCCTGTTGTAGTTTCCTGAATAGATGTTGATTGATATTTATGTATTTGGTTGGTTTGGCAGACATCTTGTTTTCTCTTAGTCTACACAAGTAAAATCTTAAATACTAAGCCAGGGGTCCTCAAACTAAGGCCCGGGGGGCGGATGCGGCCCTCCAAGGTCATTTACCCGGCCCTCGCTCAGGGTCAACCTAAGTCTGAAACGGCTTAAAAACACATAACAACAACAACAATCCTATCTTATCAGCCAAAAGCAGACCCACATTTCCCATTGAAATACTAATAAGTTTATATTTGTTAACATTGTTCCTCATTTTAATTTTTTAATTGTTTTTAAGTGTTTTTTACACTACAAATAAGATATGTGCAGCGTGCACAGGAATTCATGTTTTATTTTTCAAATTATAATCCGGCCCTCCAACAGTTTGAGGGACTGTGACCTGGCCCTCTGCTTAAAAAGTTTGTGGACCCCTGTACTAAGCCCTCAAAACGAGAGGCGCTGAAATCTCGCTCCTCGTTCCCATGGTAGTTGAATTAAGAAACTAGTTTAAAAGCGAACTATAAAGCAAGATTGTAAACAAGGATTTGCAGAACATCACTGAAATAATAGAAACTGGCAAGCTTTGTCTGTAGTTAGTAGCAAGGAGAAAGAAGAAGATATGTTCATGCTTTTCACATAATCATATGGCAAACATCCTGTGATTAGAGTAACGTGCTAGGTTTGAACTGTGGACGCATAATGTTGTTGCAGCAAACTGACAAATTCGTAGTAGTTTAGTAGAAGTATGAATTTCTGCTGCTATCTTCAAAAGCATCCTTTATGTATTTCTAAGTGATGGGGCTCTTGCATCTTTTCCAAAGCAGATGAAAGCCTGTTTGATTTTGAAAAGTTTTGAAGTGGCAGTATGTAGCTATGCCAAGAGGAGATGCCTCTTGCGAAGTGTTGCCCTGTTTTTGTCCCTGTTGGTCCCCAGATTAACAGGAACATATGTGAATCCACCCAAGCTAAACAGCTTTACACCCACACCTTCATTATTGCTTTTTGGTACTTGCTCAAAAAGAATATGAAATGGCAGTTTGCATATAGGAAAATCAGGTTTTTAAAAAGTATTTCTGATTAAATTAAGAGGTCGCAAGACTTCATACCTCAAGGATCAATATTGTTTTTGTTTGGTATTTTTCCTAACACCTCAAGATCTACTAATAGTCCAGGTGCAAAATATGTACAATTAGCAAAAATATGACCACAGGAATTTGTTTATAATACAAGAACAGAATGGATCTTACAGATCTTTCATAAATTAAAACAAACACACAAGAAAAAAACCGTTGTTACATAGCCAGTCTTCAGCTTAACAGCACTGAGAGATAATTTTGTTGCTGTTAGTGTTAAAAAAAGTTGAGTTGCTGTACTGTAAAGCATTCATAGATCTGTTGGTAGATGTAGATTTATCTTCTGCCATCCAGGTTTACATAAAGAATAACGTTCAGATATTACTCTTTTCCCATGAAGATGATTGTATTGCATGCACATACTCACATGTGTGCATGTGTTGAAGCTTTTTGCAAGCTTCCTGGAGCAAAATTAATCAAAACAGTATAATCCTAATTAACTGTGGGTGGTAGAATAGCTTTGTAATGTGATTGAATGTACGCTAATGTTATTCCGTTACACAAAAACTGCTTTTACTTTTGCCGATTTAAGTGAATGAAAATGACCTTTTTTCCATAGGCTCAAACTGTCCAGGTTGCTGAAGTGGAGCAACAGCCGCAGCCGCAGCCTTCCCCTGAACTCCTCCTTCCACAGTCCCTGAAGCCAGAGGAAGGGCTAGAAGTGTGGAAGAGCTGGGCACAGACTAAAAATGCAGAGCTGGAGAAGGAGGCTCAGAACAGGCTTGCACCTATTGGCAGTAAGTTCTTCGGGCTGCAGAAGTACTCCTTTTTCTTTTCAAACCAAAGTAATTTTTCTTTGCTCCCCTGAGTATGAAAGAATATTATATTCCACAAATCTGGAATTGGTTATTGAATGTTAACCTTTCCCTTCAGGCATCTCATGCTCCAGATGTTCTGTTGAGTATTGAACTGCCTCCCCCTTTTGGTGGTTTCATTTTTAGTTGTTCGGTTGAATTAATTTTAATTGTTTTGATACTGTTTCCCCATTTTATTGTGCTATTATATTAAAAATGAGTCCTGATAATTTGAAAAACTAAGCTTACTCATTTTCTGGGTTTTCCGGTCTCTGAATTTTTTTCATTTATTGACACATACTGGGTTATACAACATGCTAAAGCCACTTACACAAGTTGCTAAAGTTATTCGTTTGTACTGTACCTTTTCACCCAATTAATTTCTTCACATCTTTTCCCTTCATTGTTGAAAGGTAGTCTGCCATTGGGCTCACATGGGTAGTATTAAGTGTACCAGGGTTTGAGGTTTACTAAATTAAATCTAAATGTTAAAACTCTGTTTTGAATAAATATTTTGGGACGTTAAGCAAAAATACTGGGTGGTGGGTGAAATCTGTTCTTGAAAATGTCAGGTAGCTGTTTTTGGGGAGACAGTAAAGGAAAGATGATCAGGTCTAGAAATAGCCTTCTGAAGAACATCAGTTAATGGCCCTTTTTGTTGTGGTTTGCAGGACGTCAGCTGTTGAGATTCCAGGAAGATCTCATATCATCAGCTGTAGCAGAATTGAATTATGGACTGTGCTTAATGAGTCGTGAAGCTCGTAATAGCGAAGGCGAGCCATACGATCCAGATGTTTTGTACTATATCTTCCTGTGTATTCAGAAGGTACGATGTCAGGGAAATTCTTTCTGTAACTAGTGATCAAACTGTAGGGCAGTGTTTTTGTTGTGATTAGAACAATTCTTGTACATGCTTGGGAGAGATATTCATTTTCTTTCAATGCTGAACTTTTTCTTCTTTTGCATGACAATGACTGTTCAAAGAGCATATTACAAAATGTACTCATATATTTAGCACTCATACTCAAGTCTGTTTTAGTTTAATAAGTGAACTAAGAGTACAGGCTGAATAAATCACGCATCTTAGGCCTTACGTATCCCAACCTAAGACCTCAGTTACATATAATATAGTTTGCATACAATATATATGTAAAGAAACACATAATACCTAATACCTATAAAAGCACATAATCATGAATCCACTTATAAAATGCCAATATACTTCAATTTTAACAAATAGCTTGTTTCAAACTCTAATTAATTTTACTCCTTTTCTCGCCATGGTCCTTGGGATTGCCTCAAATGCAATACTACAGGATGTCATGAAGTGGAAAAAGAAATTTGGGAGGAAATTTAAATAAATGCTATGAAATCCAAACATGTTTACTACTTTTGCACTAAGAAGTGTTCCATTGGTTAGTTTGTACTCTTTAACTTATTTTTGAAATTTAACATGAAAAATTATGAACATATTCTATGCTAAAGAGCAAACAGTTGAAAAGCAAGTTACTCAGAGCCCTTCCACATAGCCATATAACCTAGAATATCGAGGCAAATGATCCACAATATCTGCTTTGAACTGGTTAATCTGATTCCACACTGCCGTATAATCTAGTTCAATGATTTTATACAGTTGTGTGGAAGGGGCCTCAGATTTGTGTGTAGTAGTGAGGTCATGTCTTGTTCAAAGAGGCTAGTATATCCTGCAGGTAACCACTGAACCTTTGAACTAAATGAATTCAAGTATTTTTATACTCTGTAGGGAAGGGAAGTTCCAAATAGTAAATGACTTTTAATAATTAAGTATATGTACAAGACACACAGCCATATCACCTTAACTCCTATTGCACATGAATAACTGTCAAGCAAACTATAAACAATAATTACATAAATAGATTTTTGAGTGTTAGTCACTGTTCAGAGCCAGTGTTGAGTAATTGTTTAAGTCTTGTTCTATGAGTTTGGAAATCTAGAATTCAAATTCTTGCTCAACTATGGAAACAACTGGGCTTCCTTGGCTAAGCCAAACTTTCTCAGCTTCAGAGCAAGGCATAAGCAAGCTTCCTCTAGATAGCTTGTCAAGAAAACTCTCAGTACGGATCACAATAAGTTGGAGTTGACTTGAAAGCGTGTAACAACTACAGAGGCTACTGTTTTGTACTTTTAGATCCTTCCTAAAATATATTATTATCAAGGGAGATTCTTTTAGTCCTAATTTTTCAGGTGTGGTCTTTAAAACATGGACAACTTGATTACTATTTTAGAAGTCATTTTAAGAACTAGAATCTTGTGGAGAAAGTTTGCTCTCACCTGTGTTACTGTGTCTTTTCAGTATCTATTTGAAAATGGACGAGTTGATGACATCTTCTCTGATCTCTACTATATACGGTTCACTGAGTGGTTACATGAAGTTCTCAAGGATGTCCAGCCCCGGGTCACTCCTCTTGGTAAGAGATTCCTCAGCCTATAGTCATGGTAGAGAAATAATATGAAACACTTTGATTATTTGTTTATTGCATTCTGTTTTTAAAAAGATATTTCATACAGAGTAGACAATTGCTAGAGGGATTTTGCCAAACATTTCTCCTAATAGTGCAGTGCTCCTTGTTTTCAGTTGAATGTCAGCCCTAAAATTGACCACATGTTTACTTGCACGCTGGCCTTTTACATTTTTGGTTTATACCCCAGATTTTCAAGAGATTGAGGTGGTTGCGGGACATGGCATATAGAAATGCCATTCCATATTACTGTGTTTTTCATTTCGGGATCACATTTTTCACCAGAAAAAAATTAAAAGACAAAAGAGCTTAGGGGACTTTTGAGGAGATGCAAAAAGGTATGTGGGGCTGTATTCTTTATTTAATAGAATAACTCACAAAACAGTTCACTAGGCTAGATATAAATGCTACTTTTTAGTTTTAACTGCTCTATCATTAAATAAAATTCTGTAAAGACAAGAAAATATATTATCTTTATGTCTTCTCTTATTTGGCAATTGTGGGTGGGTGGAAATGTTGCTTGGATAACAGCTTTTGGTGACGCTGTTATCCTGTCTTTTCAGGCTATGTTCTTCCAAGCCATGTGACTGAAGAGATGTTGTGGGAGTGCAAGCAACTGGGCGCTCACTCCCCTGCCACCTTGCTCACTACGCTTATGTTTTTCAACACAAAGTATGTACTGCTATACCAGTTTTGTTGTCAATATTGTAGTAATTGCTTTGAAATAAGTAGAATCCTATTTTTAATGAATTGTGGATTGTGATGTGGGGAAGTAGAGGAGAGTAAAGACATACTAACGGACAGGAGTTATCTTAATAGGTCAGATCAAAATGCATATAGTTATTGAGTTGTAAGTACTCAGAAACATGTGTGTCTGTTGCTTTGTCGGTGGTTTGTTTGTACTACAAAGGCTCCTACATGGCTTGATGAGTCTGGACCAACTGTGGCACACATATCCTTCATTATCCAACTTCAAATAATTAAGGGGTATGAAGTAAAAAAAAAAAAGTCCCCACCCCTTTGGGGCCCAGAGTAGAGAGGAAAGGAACAAAATGGATGTGGCTAGGTGAAGTGACCCTCTGCCATATGACTGGGAAAAAGCGACAAAGAGAACTGGCTGTTGCTAGGTATATGAAAGGAAGGAAGGAGAGAGAAAGACAGACAGACAGAAAGAAAATGGGGAAGGAAAGAAAGAGAATAGAGGGAAGATAAGATAAGGGAGAAGGAAGAGAGTGGGAAAGGGAAGGGAAGAAAAAGGAAGAAAAAGTTAAGAAAAAGAAAGAAGTGGAAATGTTTGGGGAAAGCAAGGAAAGGAAGAAGGAAAGAAAGAGCCACGAAGAGAACCTAGCTAATGCCCCCAGTATTTGATTTTGCAGAGATTCTGTCTGGGAACAATGAAATGCCATTTTGGCTACTATAGCTAAGTGCCGCATTTCATAAATTTGCCAAAATCTCTTCATAGTTTACACTAGTAAAGCTTAAAGGTAAAGGTTTCCCCTGACATTAAGTCTATTTGTGTTCGCCTCTAGGGGGTGGTGCTCATCTCCATGTCTAAGCTGAAGAACAGGCATTGTCCGTAGACACCTCCAAGGTCATGTGGCCAGCATGACTGCATCGAGCACCGTTACACTACTCTATGTCAATTGAAGTAGACTGTTACTTGTGAAAGCTTATGATAAATATGTGGTTTTGTTGTGAAGGTACCATAACACCATTCATTTGCTGGTAATAAGCATACCTGTTTCCTTGATTGTAGTGGCCAGGCATTAAATATTAGATTTTATGACTCATTTATTCCCTTTTAGATGCAAATTGGGTACTTCTCCCAGTATGAGTAATGGCTTTTCAAATATGTTTTCATATGCACCTTTTCTTTTCTTGTGCAGATACTTTTTGTTAAAAACAGTGGACCAGCACATGAAGTTGGCCTTTTCAAAAGTCTTGAGGCAGACTAAGAAGAACCCTTCCAATCCCAAGGATAAGAGTACAAGCATCCGGTATCTGAAGGCACTTGGTATACACCAGGCTGGCCAGAAAGGTAGAGCTTAAAACTTAATTTTGGTTCTAATGGCTGATCATATTTATTCTGCAGTGCTGCTCAGAAGAGACAAGATGAAAAAGGAGAGAAATTGGGTTTTATGATATTTGTAAACTAGTATTTTGTTTTATTCATTTTCCATATTTTATATTTTTATACAATAAGCTCACTGTTATTATTTTTATTACATTGCATTACTGTAATTGTTTCTTGCATTTGTCTGGGCATTGAATGTTGGCCTTTTTTGAGTTGTAAGCTGCCCACAGTCCCCCTGGGGAGAGAGGGTAGTCCCCTTGGGGAGAGAGGGTGGTTTATAAATACATTATTATTATTATTAAGCTTCCCCAGAATAGTTCAGAATACACCTTCATGAGAATTTATCACTGAGTCCTTCTTTCTCTGCAAATATTTTGATTGCACCTTTTCCACTATTATTTTATGTATGTGGGTGGCTTTACTGGTTTAACTGGTTTTTACTGGTGTCAAACCTACTTTTCTAAGGTAATAGGATCATCAAAAGTATCAAAAACTTCCTGCAACTTTGTGGGACTCTGAAGTGACATTGAGAGTTTTGTCTGCTTTCTTCCTCCTTGCACCAGAGATCCTTTTTCAAAGCCTATTTAGCTTTCTTTATCATAAATGTGATGTGGGCAGCAGAACTCATATTTGACTTCCAACTATTCCCATTTTGGATTTGGATTTTACAGAGTATGTACTTAGACTACTTTGTCAAATAGAAAGTTGTTGTATTTGGCTTTTCACAAGAACTACTAACTCCACCAACAAAAAATACTTTAAAACCCCTATAAAGATGGCTCATCAGTCACAAGAAAGAGATTGATACTTATGCTTTATTGCAAGCCTTCACAGCCTGCAGCCTTTCTGGTGTTTGGGTTTCAGCCCCCAGAATTCCTGATGGTTGAACAGGCTGCCTAGGGCTTCTGGGAGTTCGATGCCCAAGTACCTGAAAGGCTGCATGTTGTGCAGGCCTGATTTATTGCAAATTGTTTCCCACGTAAAGTATCTTGACAGGCTTCTGTTATTTGGGTTACCTTGCAGTTACTGATGACATGTACGCAGAACAGACCGAGAACCCTGAGAACCCTTTAAGGTGTCCTATAAAGCTCTATGACTTCTACCTCTTCAAATGGTGAGTGTTTCTGTCGTCCTTGAAAGTCGCAAAATGTCATGGAAGGGGTTATGGCAGTGTGCTTGATTTTAAATTGCATTAATATGCATCTTACTAAAAGATAATTTAGATACACTCCTATTTGGAGTTAAATTACATTCCTACTTACTATAAGGTCATCTAACTACATTCCTACTTGGAGTTAAGGATGGAGGTGTGGTCTACTGAATGTCACTCCTGAGTAAAAAATATAAATTCTACCCTATTTATTTATTTGCCTGCCTGCATACATAGCCAGCTTCAATGTTAGTAAAATGAAAGTTCAAACTCCTGGGTTAGGATTATATCGATAGACATTGATGTTCAGTCTCTCCCTCTTTCTCTTTCTCCACAGTCCCCAGAGTGTGAAAGGCCGGAATGACACCTTCTATTTGACCCCTGAACCCGTGGTGGCTCCCAACAGCCCAATTTGGTATTCCATCCAGCCAATCAGCCGCGAGCAAATGGAGCAGATGCTCACCCGGATTCTGGTGATACGAGAGATTCAGGAAGCGATTGCTGTGGCAAATGTCAGCACCATGCACTAAGTGCATCCCTTGCCAGCTCATAAAATGGGTGCAGGTGGGGTAGGGTGGGAAGATAGGTTGCGAGGCCAGGATCAGTTGTACAGCCTTTTACACTAAAGGAGATGCCTAAGTTTTTTTTTAATGGGTGTAGTTAGGAAGCCCTTTTAAGCTTCCTCTGTTTAAAAAGAGAACCTTTCTCATTGTGTATCTGGCCCAAATGCATCAGCCTTCTGGACACATTGAGGGCTGTGTTCTCTCTCTGGGAGCTGTGAGGTGCTGTAGGTTGACTTTGGGTTTTTTTATGATGTGGGGGGAAAAAACAAATTTAATTGAGAGACTTGGCCTGGTGCGGCCACTCCTTTGGCGCTCATGCACTTGGAAAGAGCAGAAAATGATCAATAGAGAAGCAGTTTGCAGTTTCCTTGTGCTCACACTGACATGTCTTGGAAGGGAGAGAAGACTGTCCTGCAATTATGATTTATAAGAAGAAAAAGAAGAAAATTGATTTCTATTAAGACCTTAAAAGTGACATTTTTAGATGTTAAGTACAAGCTACCACAGTCCGTTCTCTTTCTTTCTTTCTCCCTCCCTCCCTCTCGATCTTCTTTTTTTTCCCTTTCTTTTTTGGCCTGATGTTGAGGCCTTAAAACCTTGAGGCTCCTGTGCCTGATGGAATTCTTGTAACATACACTTGTGTATCATATAAAGATACCACCCTGTTTCTCTTATGTATTCTTACGCTAGTTGTTTATTAAGAATGACAAGCACGTCTTTTCAACATGCTATTGAACAACGTGTCTTTATTTATGAGGAATTTTGCAGAAAAAGATTAGTTGTGTGGTAGGGGGTGACCACCCCACTGATGAAGAGACCCTATGGAAGCCATAAGCCAATTGCAAGGAATTCCTTTTAGAAATCTTTTGCTATTGGCTTGTTATGGCTTCCATAGTAATTCTGCTTGCAGAACAATTTTGGATAAAATGACCTTGGGGTGAAGGTGACATTTATTCCTTCTTTTTCAGGCATACAACCTCCTGGAAAATTCAAACCTGTAGCAGATATACAAATGAATCCAGGATTTAGAGGGCATGTTTTCCTATAGCTCATTCTGTCCCCTTTTCATCTGGATTCGGTGTTATCCTTGACCACTGAGAACTGGTTTTAATCCTAGATTGGCTAAGTACATTTGGGAGGATCCCAACTTCATCGACTTGGCAACACTTGGTTATATTGGTGAACCTGGGAAGAGAGCTGAGAAGTGGGGAGTGTGTAATCCCTTGTATTTTACATCTACATTTGGCTCATGGAAGACGGTTTTATTTCACATTCTTTGAATAATATGTCATTGAACAGCTCAACCTATTCGCAGTTTTCATTTATCACAGACTCCTGTTGTTACTGCTAGAATTTGCTCCGCTATTGGAATAGAGTCCGACAGTAGTATCAGAATCGTTAGGCACAAACCAGGTCGTTTCCTTCAGATTGGTCCTTGGTCTTGTCGGTTATCAGTGTTGGAATATTCCTTATCCATGGCAGAATAGAGTGCTGTGTAGCCAGTGCTATATATGAGCATATGGTAGGAAACAGGCAAGAAAATACATAGGTTGCTCTATTAAGGTTTAAGAACAGGTAAAAATGCGCGTTTACTGTTACAGGTCATACACCTGAGGTAAAAGAGTAGATGAAAAGTTTTAAACTTTGGTAGAAGAGTACCTAACACTGACTCATCTTTGTGTGTAATAATAATACACTTTATTTATATTCCGTTCTTCTCCCCTAGGGGACTCAGAGAGCGGATTATAGCATTTACACTCAATACCTTTACAATAATATACAAGGACACACAAACAGGCAGAGGTTACTCCTTTCATTTCCAGCTTCTGAAGACGGTGGTCATCTCTGGCTCTGGGGAGGTGCTTTCTCCATTTTCAAGCGTTGTCACCTCCTGGTTGTGTGACCGTCAAGACTGCTTGGAGTCTCTCTTTGCCTTTTCCCGCCGAAGCAGTACCTATTTACTCATATTTGCATGTTTTCGAACTGCTAGGATAACAGGAACTGGAGCTTACAGACGGGAGCTCACCTAATCTCATGGATTCAAACTGCCGACCATCAGGTCAGCAGTTCAGCAGCACAAGCGTTTAACCGCGGCCCTGGCTAGGCAACTTTTGGCAGAGAGAGGCCTCATAGTGCTCCCTTCTCAAATAAAGCACAATAAATACTTTTTGGGAAGAAGCGGGGGTAATCTCTACATGCAGACAGGAAGCAAAACACATTGAGTTACATATATCTAGGAAATGTAAAAAACAATCCGGCAGCAGGTTTGCCCTAAAGGATCCCCCCTATCCCCAGTCACTCCATATACACGTGTTGCTGCTTCTTCACTTTCAGCAGTCAGTAGGTAGTTCCCTTCAGATTGGTCCTTGGTCTTGTACCTGTAGATTTGCTGTTTTACCATTTCTTGATCTGTTGAATTTTTAAATGATATCATTTCCTAATCAGCATGTGTGGTATGTGCTCAGTCTGAGAGAAGGCAATGGCAAATAATTTAACAAATCATGCCAGTAAAACCCTGTGATAGATCGGCCTCACATAAGAACAAGAAGTAACACAAGGCTGTGATTTGGAATTAAGGTCTCCAATTCCATACCTGCTGTTTGAAATAAATCCATGAACCAGAGGACAGTTACAGTTGCTCTGTTCAATCCCTTGTTCTCCTACTGAAGAACTTTGTATAACCGAAACGAATTATTAACTAACCTCGGATTGTGAAGAAAGCCACAGTCAGTCCACAAATCAGTGTTCTTTTGTATTTAAATTGAAAAACTGATTGTTAGGAAAGAGTAAAGCAGCCTAGTAACGGGAAGCTGCCAAATACAATCTTCCCTCCATATCCACAGATTCTGCATCCTTGTATTCTACCACCTATGGCTAGAATATATCCCTCACACACAAAATCCTGAAAGCAAACTTTAATTTTGCCATGTTTTAGTAAGGGGACATCATTTTACTATGCCATTGCGTATAGTGGGACTTGAGGATCCACAGATGATGTTGTCCACAGAGAGTGGATACATGAGTCTTGTAACCAAATCCAAGAAGATACCAATGGCCCACTCTGTTGGGAAAGAATCTTGCTTTTCTAAGGTGGGGAACCTATAGCCTCTTCTGCAAACAGTGTTATTTTACTTGGGAAAGTAGCTATCTAGGACCTATCTGCAGAATATTGGTTTCTATGCAGTATGAATGCAGGCAACAGCCAGGAAATCAGAAGACGTTACTTCGTGGGAGGAGAGCAATGACCAATCTCGATAAAATAGTGAAGAGTAGAGACATCACACTGGCAACCAAGATCCGCATAGTTAAAGCAATGGTATTCCCCATAGTCACCTATGGATGTGAGAGCTGGACCTTAGGGAAGGCTGAGCGAAGGAAAATAGATGCTTTTGAACTGGGGTGCTGGAGAAAAGTTCTGAAAGTGCCTTGGACAGCGAAAAGAACCAACCAGTCCATCCTCCAGGAAATAAAGCCCGACTGCTCATTGGAGGGAAGGATAGTAGAGGTAAAGATGAAGTACTTTGGCCACATAATGAGAAGAAAGGAAAGCTTAGAGAAGACAATGATGCTGGGGAAAATGGAAGGAAAAAGGAGAGGGGACGACCAAGAGCAAGATGGATAGATGGCATCCTTGAAGTGACTGGCTTGACTGAAGGAGCTCGGGGTGGTGACGGCTGACAGGGAGCTCTGGCGTGGGCTGGTCCATGAGGTCACGAAGAGTCAGAAACAACTGAACGAATGAACAACAACATGCAGTATGAAATTATACATCTGTATACAGTAGTACACATTGCACACTGTTATATGTTGAATCCTAAAGTTTTAACAGAGGTTGAAAATCTCTAACCAACTTCATATTTCCTGAACACACACACACACACACACACATATATATATATATAAATTCCACACCTTAACTAGAATATGGGGTATTTAACAGGTAAAAATATTGTTTACTTGAGCAACTTCTTGCTGTATACAAGTACTGCACTGTCTCTCACTTAGTAAAATAAGCCATGTAAAATACTCTCTTCATAGCTAATGTGTGAAGTTGTCTTCAGTTGGACAAAATCAAAAATAAACTTCAGTAGAGTGGAGTATGATTGTAGGTAAGTTACATTGTTGGCAATCCCAAACAAATTAAAATTTGCAAAACTTAAGAATGTAAGAAGAACTGAGTTTAGACTACAAATTTCCCAGTTTCAACACCAGTAGCCTCAACTGTTTTGGCCAATGATTGGGGATTTTGAGAGCTGAAGTCTGAAACGCCTGGAAGACCAGGGTGTAAGAAACACTGGTTTACACTAAAGACCGGTCTACTCTGTTCTCATCACATAATGACAAATCAGAAGTTCTCCTATAAGCACAATTGCAGCAATACACTCCACTTATGTGTCCCGACAACTGCCACTGAAAGAAATATCTGCCTTTAATACTAGAAGTAATACAACCATCCTTTATACTAGGTGTAGTTTCACATAGCCTCAGTGTTATTTAATGTGTCCATAGGAGGGTGACCAAAATGATCAAGGGTCTAGAGAACAAGTTGTATGAGGAGCTGCTTAAGGAGCTGGTCATGTTCAGAAGAGTAGTCTGAGAGGAGACATAATGGCCATGTATAAATATGTGAGGGGAAGTCATAGGGAGGAGGGAGCAAGCTTGTTTTCTGCTGCCCTGGAGACTAGGACGTGGAACAATGGCTTCAAACTACAGGAAAGGAGATTCCACCTGAACATTAGGAAGAACTTCCTGACTGTGATAGCTGTTCAGCAGTGGAACTCTCTGCCCTGGAGTGTGGTGGAGTCTCCTTTGGAGGCTTTTAAGCAGAGCCTGGATGGCCATCTGCCAGAGTGCTTTGAATGCAATTTTGGTACTTATTGGCAAAATGGGGTTGAACTGGATAGCCCATGAGGTCTCTTCCAACGCTATGATTCTATGAATCATGTAAGTTGTAGTTTGGTCAGGCACCAGCACTCTTTGGCAGCAAAGGCTACAAACCTTATAAAGCTACAATGCCTACAATCCCATGGTGCTGAGTTACAGCAGTTAAAAGTGGTCTCAAACTGCACTAATTCTACAGTGTAGAGACAACTTTAGTCTGGAATCAAAGTGGGATTGAAGGAGACCCTAAAATCCATCCAATCCAACGCCATTCTGCCTTGCAGGAACACACCATCAAAGCATTCTGGACAGATAGCCATCCAGCCTCTGATTTAAAAAAAACCCCAGAGAAGGGACTCCACCATTCTCTGAGGCAATAGAGTCCACTGTCAAACTGCTTTTCCTAATGTTAAATGCTTTCTATTTTCCTGTTTGGATATTTTATTTTCTAGAACACACTTGAAAGTGCCCTTGACTTTACATTGTGTCCTTGGAGCGAAGTTGGGGCTTGTCCACCTTTCCTATGCACTTTTCAACCTGAAGTGATCTCTCCATGCCGCCGAGAGGTGGCACTGCTCTCTTGGAGTAAAGGCCCAGGAGAAGCTCGCTGCCTTTCAGGGATTTTTAAGAATAAGTTTTTGATAAGAAATAAGGTTAGTCTGCCACAGTATATAATGGGGGATGATGACGATCTCTAGAGAGACAAACTTTTATACAATTTTTATATATAAAGGGGTTGTCGCAGAAATAGGCATCCACTGGGTTGTGGTAGGGTTGTATGGCCATGTTCTAGTAGCATTCTCTCCTGATGTTTCACCTGCATCTGTGGCAAGCATCCTCACAATCTCTGAGGATGCTTGCCACAGATGCTGGCGAAACGTCAGGAGAGAATGCTTCTAGAACATGGCCATACAATCCGAAAAACCTCCCAACAACCCAGTGATTCTGGCCATGAATGCCTTCGGGCTTGAGATACAGTGGTATATAAGCAAAGTAAATAAGCAATACAGTATGCATCCACCTTTTAACAGCCAATGGCAGATTCGAAAGCTACTCAAATGCATTTATGTTGAAGAATAAAGGCTACAGTAATAATAGTTACAGATGCTATCTTAAATGACATTTTAATGCCAGGTGGTCACATCACCCTCCCAGCATTGGAGATGCAAATTTCCAATGAAGTTATCTTAGGATGTACTGTCAAAGGCTTTAATGGCCAGAATCACTGGGTCCTTGTAGGTTTTTTTGGGCGATATGGCCATGTTCTAGAGGCATTATCTCCTGACATTTCGCCTGCATCTATGGCAAGCATCCTCAGGGGTATCTTTGGATGCTTTACAATTCGGAATCTTTAATCCTGCGAAGGGTCTACTATACATTGAAACTGATAAAGGATGCATATATTTGGAGGTGGGAGCGCTGCCGAAAAATAAAAATAATTCCACAAATATAAAATGTCAAAGATGTATACATTTGGAGGGGAGGAGGGATTGCAGAACAGAAACATTCCTGTATTATAAATGTGCACTTTTTTGGGGGGGGGGGAATGCAAATTAAAATATTCTTAAATTATAAACTGTTAAAGGGTGTATATATATGTATACATATTGTGTGTGTGTGTGTATATATATGTATATGTATGTATACATATTGTATGCTGCTCTGAGTACTCTTGGGGTGATGAGGCAGGATATAATTTTTTTTATTATTTAACAATATTTTAATTTGCATATATTGTAAAGCTCTCCAAGTCTTCTCGGGGAAATGGGGTGGGATATAAATAAAGAAGTATTGTCGAAGGCTTTCATGGCCAGAATCACTGGGTTGTTGTAGGTTTCTCCGGGCTATATGGCCATGTTCTAGAGGCATTTTCTCCTGATGTTTCGCCTGCATCTATGGCAAGCATCCTCAGAGGTAGTGAGGTCTGTTGGAACTAGGAAAATGGGTTTATATATCTGTGGAATGACCAGGGTGGGACAAAGGACTCTTGTCTGTTGGAGCTAGGTGTGAATTTTTTCAACTGATCACCTTGATTATGGCCATGTATAAATATGTGAGAGGAAGCCACAGGGAGGAGGGAGCAAGCTTGTTTACTGCTTCCATGGAGATTAGGACAAGGAACAATGGCTTCAAACTACAAAGAGATTCCATCTGAACATGAGGAAGAACTTCCTGACTGTGAGAGCCGTTCAGCAGTGGAACTCTCTGCCCCGGAGTGTGGTGGAGGCTCCTTCTTTGGAAGCTTTTAAACAGAGGCTGGATGGTCATCTGTCAGGGATGATTTGAATGCAATATTCCTGCTTCTTGGCAGGGGGTTGGACTGGATGGCCCATGAGGTCTCTTCCAACTCTTTGATTCTATGATTAGCATGATGGCCTGGCAGTGCCTGGGGCAATCTTTTGTTGAGAGGTGATTAGATGTGCCAATAGACCTCACTCACTACCTCTGAGGATGCTTGCCATAGATACAGGCGAAACGTCAGGAGAAATGCCTCTAGAACATGGCCATATAGCCCGAAAAAACCTACAACAACCCATAGCTGATTATTCCATAGTATCAGTGTTTCCTTCTATTGTGATATATGTGAGGTCACGAAGAGTCGGAGACGACTGAATGAATGAACAACAACATATCTGTGGAATGACCAGGGTGGGGCAAAGGACTCTTGTCTGTTGGAGCTAGGTGTGAATGTTTAAACTGATCACCTTGATTAGCATTTGATGGCCTGGCAGTGCCTGGGGCCATCTTTTGTTGAGAGGTGATTAAATGTGGCAATAGACCTCACTACCTCTGTGGGCGCTTGCCATAGATGCAGGCGAAACGTCAGGAGAAAATGCCTCTAGACCATGGCCATATAGCCCGAAAAAACCTACAACAACCCAAAGAAGTATTATTACTGAAGAATATTTTAATTTGCATTTTGTCCTCCAGGGGTTTTGGACTCCAACTCCCACAATTCGGCTGTAAGGAATTGTGGGAGTTGGAGTCCAAAACCCCTGGAGGGCCCAAGTTTGCCCATGCCTCGTATATATACACTTTATGTACCTAAGTATCTGCCTGTGAGCATAAAAGGGGGAAAGGGTCACATGACACAAGCCTTGCATGGGAACAGGCGTGACGTAACGCAGAAAGGGGGAGTGGGCGGGGCTTCCAGTGGGAGGAGCCTTGCCTTCCCCTTTTACTTTCGCGCCTCGCCGGTTCTGCTCTCTTTTCAGAGCGGGAAAGGAGAGGAGAAGGAGGCAGAGCGCATGCGCTCGAGCTGAAGGGAGCCGAGTGGTCGCGCGACGAGGATCGAGGCGGGGATTGGCTGAGGCGCAGAGGGAGAGAGAAAGAGGCAGGCATCATGGCGGACTACCTCATCAGTGGCGGCACCGGCTACGTCCCCGACGACGGGCTCACGGCGCAGCAGATGCTCAACTGCGGGGACGGGCTCACCTACAAGTAAGTAAGGAGAGAGGCCGCTGCTCCACGCGGTTCCTGGGAGCGGGGTTGAGTTGTCGCCTCACTACACAGTTAAGCCACTTCCATACAGTGAATTGCCATGCTTCAGAGCTGTGGAATGCTGGGAGTTGTAGTTCCACAAGGACTGCAGCTACACTATAGAATGAATGCAGTTTGAGATAACTTGGCTCAGTGCTATGGAATTGTGGGAGTTGTAGTTTTACAAGAGCTTCAGCCTTGTAAACTATAACTCTCGGGGTTTCATAACATTAAACCATGACTGAAATGATCAAGGGTCTGGAGAACAAGCCCTATGAGGAGCGGCTTAAAGAGCAGGGCATGTTTAGCCTGGAATCTTCCACATGTGTCCAATTCTGGGCATCACAATTGAAGGGAGATGTTGACAAGCTGGAATGTGTCCAGAGGAGGGCGATGAAGATGATCAAGGGTCTGGAGAACAAGCCCTATGAGGAGCGGCTTAAAGAGCTGGGCATGTTTAGCCTGGAATATTCCACATGTGTCCAATTCTGGGCATCACAATTGAAGGGAGATGTTGACATGCTAGAATGTGTCCAGAGGAGGGCGATTAAGATGATCAAGGGTCTGGAGAACAAGCCCTATGAGGAGTGGCTTAAAGAGCAGGGCATGTTTAGCCTGGAATATTGCATCCAATTCTGGGCACCACAATTGAAGGGAGATGTTGACAAGCTGGAATGTGTCCAGAGGAGGGAGATTAAGATGATCAAGGGTCTGGAGAACAAGCCCTATGAGGAGCGGCTTAAAGAGCTGGGCATGTTTACCCTGGAATATTCCACATGTGTCCAATTCTGGGCATCACAATTGAAGGGAGATGTTGTCATGCTGGAATGTGTCCAGAGGAGGGCGGTTAAGATGATCAAGGGTCTGGAGAACAAGCCCAATGAGGAGCGGCTTAAAGAGCAGGGCATGTTTAGCCTGGAATATTCCACATGTGTCCAATTCTGGCCTTCACAATTGAAGGGAGATGTTGACAAGCTGGAATGTGTCCAGAGGAGGGCGATTAAGATGATCAAGGGTTTGGAGAACAAGCCCTATGAGGAGTGGCTTAAAGAGCAGGGCATGTTTAGCCTGGAATATTCCACATGTGTCCAATTCTGGGCATCACAATTGAAGGGAGATGTTGACAAGCTGGAATGTGTCCAGAGGAGGGCGATTAAGATGATCAAGGGTCTGGAGAACAAGCCCTATGAGGAGTGTCTTAAAGAGCTGGGCATATTTAGCCTGGAATATTCCACATCTGGAATATTGTGTCCAATTCTGGGCACCACAATTGAAGGGAAATGTTGACAAGCTGGAATGTGTCCAGAGGAGGGCGATTAAGATGATCAAGGGTCTGGAGAGCAAGCCCTATGAGGAGCGGCTTAAAAAGCTGGGCATGTTTAGCCTCGAATATCCCACATCTGGAATATTGTGTCCAATTCTGGGCACCACAATTGAAGGGAGATGTTGACAAGCTGGAATGTGTCCAGAGGAGGGAGATTAAGATGATCAATGGTCTGGGGAACAAGCCGAATGAGGAGTGGCTTAAAGAGCTGGGCATGTTTAGCCTGCAGAAGAGAAGGCTGAGAGGAGAAATAATGAGGGCCATGTATAAATATGTGAGGGGAAGTTATAGGGAGGAGGGAGCAGGCTTGTTTTCTGCTACCCTGAAGACTAGGACACGGAACAGTGGCTTCAAACTACAGGAAAGTAAATTCCACCTGAACATTTGGAAGAACTTCCTTACCGGGAGAGCTGTTCGGCAGTGGAACTCTCTGCCCCTGGAGTGTGGTGGCTTATTTATTTATTTCCTGCATTTATAACCTGCCCTTCTCACCCCTGAAGGGTGGCCACCTGTCAGGGATGCTTTGAATGCGATTTTCCTGCTTCTTGGCAGGGGGTTGGACTGGAAGGCCCACAAGGTCTCTTCCTACTCTAGGATTCTGACTTCTTCTGGCATTGTGTTCCGTAACTTCAGAGCCGCCCTGAAAATGTACCCTCTCTGGTGGCTTTAAGGTGCCAGTTGACACTGAATTGGATGGAGATAAGGGTCTCCTTGGAGCCCCTGGTGGTGCAGTGGGTTAAAGCACTGAGCTGCTGAGCTTTTTGACCGAAAGGTCACAGGTTTGATTCCGGGGAGTGGTGTGAGCTTCCGCTGTCAGCGCTAGCTTCTACTAACCTAGCAGTTCGAAAACATGCAAATGTGAGTAGATCAATATGTACCACTCCAGCGGGAAGGTAACGGCACTCCATGCAGTCGTGTTGGCCACATGACCTTGGAGGTGTCTATGGACAACGCTGGCTCTCTGGCTTAGAAATGGAGATGAGCACCACACCCCAGAGTCAGACATGACTGGACTTAATATCAGGGGACAACCTTTACCTTTAAGGGTCTCCTTGCTGGATCTGTATTGTTGAACACTATAGCCTTGAGCCATTAAAGTGTCAAGACAAAATTACTTCTATAGTGCAGGTGCATTCTCCCCTAGAATCCTGGGATATATAGTTGGACAAGGGGTGGTTCTACTTCCTTGCCAGAAAGCTCTAATGTATTGTTTCTATAAGTAGTTAAAACTGGTATCAAACTGCCATAGTTAATATTGTTGTTGTTATTATTATTGTATTTATTGTACTTGCTTTTATCTCTAGATTCAGCCCCAAAGGGGCTCACAACCTTAAAAACAATACATTTTAAAATGTACAAAATATCTTACTTACTTACTTACTTACTTACTTACTTAGGCGATCCCTCGTTGGACGAGTAAGATGGTCTTCCATTATGGATTTCCTTGTGGGTCCGTATGTGGCTGTGGAGCCCTATTCTTGCTCTGCATCTTCTTCCGCAGTGAGGGCATTGGTTTCCAGGTGGAAGGTGGTCCCGGTCGGGGTTGGCTTGACGCGCCTTCCTCCTGGCACGTTTCTCTCTTTCACCCTCCACTCGTGCCTCCTCAAATTCTGCAGCACTGCTGGTCACAGCTGTCCTCCAGCTGGAGCGCTCAAGGGCCAGGGCTTCCCAGTTCTCAGTGTCTATGCCAGAGTTTTTAAGGTTGGCTTTGAGCCCATCTTTAAATCTCTTTTCCTGTCCACCAACATTCCGTTTTCCGTTCTTAAGTTCGGAGTAGAGCAACTGCTTTGGGAGACGGTGGTCAGGCATCCGGACAACGTGGCCGGCCCAGCGGAGTTGATGTTGGAGGACCATCGCTTCAATGCTGGTGTTCTTTGCTTCTTCCAGCACACTGACGTTTGTCCGCTTGTCTTCCCAGGAGATTTGCAGGATTTTCCGGAGGCAGCGCTGATGGAAACGTTCCAGGAGTTGCATGTGACGTCTGTAGACAGTCCACGTCTCACAGGCATATAGCAGGGTTGGGAGGACAATAGCTTTATAAACAAGCACCTTGGTATCCCTACGGATGTCCCGGTCCTCAAACACTCTCTGCTTCATTCTGGAAAATGCTGCACTTGCAGAGCTCAGGCGGTGTTGTATTTCGGCGTCGATGTTGACTTTGGTGGAGAGGTGGCTGCCAAGGTAGCGGAAATGGTCCACATTTTCTAATGTGACACCATTAAGCTGTATTACTGGCATTGGAGAGGGATTGGCTGGTGACTGCTGGAACAGCACCTTGGTTTTCTCAATGTTCAGTGACAGGCCGAGCTTCTCGTATGCTTCTGCGAAGGTGTTTAGAGTGGCTTGTAGATCTTCTTCTGAATGCGCACAGACGACATTGTCATCAGCATACTGGAGTTCTATAACAGCTGTTGTTGTAACCTTGGTTTTGGCTTTCAGTCTGCTGAGGTTGAATAGCTTGCCATCTGTCCGATAGATTATTTCCATTCCGGTGGGAAGCTTCCCATCAACAAGGTGAAGTATCATAGCGATGAAGATGGAGAATAGAGTTGGGGCAATAACACATCCCTGTTTGACACCTGATTCCACCTTAAATGGGTCACTTTGGGAGCCACTGCTGTCCAAGACTGTTGCCATCATGTCATCATGGAGGAGCCGCAGGATGTTCACAAATTTGTTAGGGCACCCGATTTTGTGGAGGATGGTCCAGAGAGCGCTGCGATTCACTGTGTCGAATGCCTTGGCAAGGTCGATGAATGCCATGTACAGAGGTTGGTTTTGTTCTCTGCATTTTTCTTGGAGCTGTCTTGCAGTGAAGATCATGTCCACTGTTCCTCTGGAGGGGCGGAAGCCATTCTGGGATTCTGGGAGGGTGTCTTCTGAGAGGGGCAGAAGGCAGTTTGCAAGGATTCTTGCGAGGATTTTCCCAGCGGAGGTTAGAAGGGAGATACCTCGATAGTTTCCGCAGTCTGTTCTTTCCCCTTTTTTGAAGAGGGTGATGATGGTGGCGTCCTTGAAATCTGCTGGGATTTTTCTCGGTCACCCACACTTTTTCTATGAGCTGGTGGAGTTGGTGTGTCAGCTCAGGTCCTCCCTCTTTAAAGATTTCAGCAGGGATCCCATCTGGTCCACTGGCTTTGTTATTCTTCTGTTGGCTGATGGCATTGCTGACTTCTTCCAAACTAGGCAGTGCTGCAAGCTCGTCCCTGGTTTGTTGTTGCGGGATTTGTGAGAGGACCTCTTCGGCCACATTGGAGCTGCGGTTCAGGAGGCTTTGGTAGTGTTCTTTCCAACGTAGTGCAATTGAGTTTTGGTCCTTCAGGAGTTTGGTTCCATCTGATGAGCGTAGAGGCTGTATCCCATGGTTTCTTGGTCCATAGATGACCTTTGTGGCTTTGAAGCTTCAAAGCCACAAAATATCTATATTAAGATAGAGTTAAACATAAAATTAGCCAAACAAGTTAATTCTAATTACATTAAACCAAAGTAGTAAAAACTCTTTAAAATAGCAGTGTAACTCCTGCTCCTTATTCCCCCCTCACCATTCAATTGCAACATCCCCTTCATTTTTGTTGTAAATAGTTATAAAACAATAAAAATTTAAGAATTAAAAATAACACTGTGTAACAAATTTTCA